TTGATTTCTTACCCCCCCCCCCTCTTCCCTCTGAAGTTTGATGATCTGTTCAGTGCTTCTCTGTCTCTGGATCTATTTTTGTTTGCCAGCTTATGTTTCATTATATTCTACAAATGAGTGAGATCATGTGATATTTATCTTTCTCTGACTGGCTTATTTTGCTTAGCATAATCCTCTCCAGGTCCATCCATACTGTTCGAATGTTAAGAGTTCTTTCTTTTTTATAGCATACTAGAGGCCCAGTGCACAAAATTCATGCACAGGTGGGGGCCCTAGGTCTGGCAGGTGATCAGGGCCAATCGGGGCTTTCCGGCTGCTGGCCGGGGCGTTCCTTCCGGCTACCGGCTGGGGCCTCCCTACCCCGACTGCCGGCCAGGGCCTTCCTTCATTCCACGCTGCTCCCTGGTGGTCAGTGCACATCTTAGCGAGTGATCGAAATCCCGGTCTCCCTGTCGAACTCCCAAGGGGACACTTTGCATATTAGCCTTTTATATATATATATACTAGAGGCCCGGTGCATGAAAATTTGTGCACTAAGGGGGAGCGGGGGGTCCCTTAGCCCAGCCTGCCCCCTCTCACAGTCCAGGAGCCTAGGGGGAAAGAAGAGAGGGAGGTGGAAGGGAAAGGCTCAGGTGTGCTCCTGGGAGCTAGAGTGCCCCTGGGACCTTTGTGTTGAGGGGTTTTAAAGGCTAGGAGTTTAGAGGAGGTCTTATGGGAGGATCTCAATAGAATATTCATCAGTTTTATGCTGATGTGCCAAAATTAGATTCCTTTAACTTCTTCTGTCCTTGGGTATGATTGACACAAATGGCACTAATTGGATTTCTGCCATCTCTCTCCCTGAAGAGGGTGATTTAAGCTATCTACCCTCTGGTTGGGGAGGAGAAAGGCAAACCATTTACTCTTAAGTGTCCTTAGCTTAAGGAAGATAGGATTTACTAGATGGCTGCAAACTGCTTGTTTAACTGTCTGTCTCAGTTTCCCTATTCCGCTTGTCCTGGCTTACTAGCCTGTTGCAGTTCCTTTGCTCAGCAAATGGTGTTTGTTTGTTTGTTTATTCTTCAGAACTTCTCAAGACTTTGCCTTGAATTCCTGGGCAAGGTAGTGGAGGAAAGGGCTGTATTTGTAATCTTCTGAATGTAACATAAGATGCCATCATAAAAGCAGGAATCTATACCTAAAATCCAAAGTAAAGATAGGTAAAAATAACTTTGTGATTATATTAGAGTGTTGTAAAATTGTAGAGGCTAATAAAGAAGAAACATTGAAATTATAGACTGTCAGTACTGTCTTCGCTCTCAGCCCATGTACCCTTAGCTACTAGGACAATGGTATGTTCATGAGAGAGGAAATTTCATGCTTATTCAAGGAGCCTAAACTGAATTTTGGAAGGAACTTTTCTTTGGACTGTCAGTGTATATTTGGAGGCCAGTGGAGCAGTAGTCTAGCCCATGAGTTGAATTTGCACTGATACCATTGGTGGTTATTTAATTGATAGATAAGGGGTGTAAAAGGAGTAGTTAGAGAGCAGTGCGCAGAGAGATTCCAAGGAGGGAGATTCAAGGGAGAATTTTATTGTTAACGTAAGATGTCCTCTGCCGTTCTGAGTCTGGCCTGGACTAGACTGTTGTGATTTGAAAGCAGATTAATGCTTTTGGACAGATTTTCTCTGTTCTTATGCTGGCTCATTACAATGAAGGGAAGTGGATTTAGAGGATTACTTTGTGATGAATCTCAGTGCTACTGGCTCCATTGAATTGATTTAGAGCTAAATCAAATATTTTAACAGTTGTATACTTACTGAGACGATGAATACTTGAAGTTCTGTAGGTCTTACAGTTATAAGATAGCTTGTATGTATATTTGGTAGTTATGGGTCTTAGAATATAGAAGGGTCCAGTGAATGAAGAAAACTAAATACAATAGGTAAAATCTAGATGATTTATTTTAAAGACCATTACTATCCAATGCCTTTTAAAAACCCAGGATTCTGCTTGCTTTCCTTCTTTGCTCAGTGAAGTCTCAATGGCATTTGCTCAGTCTTCAAAGTACAGCCTTGAGTCGAGCTGAAATAAGGCCCTACTGGTGCATCTCAACGGCAAAAGTTATTTAGGTAAAATTGTTAGCATCATAAATGTCTATATTTCTATCCTTTTCTGGTTTCCTAATTCGGGTGCCTCTCATCCGTTAGGAAATAGGAATGCCTGATTCTAAAGGGTTCTGGTACTGCCTGAGAAATGCAGTACTTATTCCCTGTCTTGCAGTGAAAACTATTCATTGTTCTTCACAGGTCACTGACAGGGAACGGGAATTTGCTGCTGGGGCTGCAAAACAGCTCGAATATCAGCAACTGGAAGACGATAAACTCTCTCAGAAATCATATAGCAGTAAACTCTCTCGATCTCCACTAAAGATTGTCAAAAAGCCAAAAAGCATGCAGTGCAAAGTGATCCTTCTAGACGGCTCAGAGTACACCTGTGATGTGGAGGTAAGAGTCTATTTTTAAACTTTCTTGTCCCAGATACTGAGAGCTGGGGAATGTTGGCATAATACATACATGATGCCTCTATTTTTTCAAAACTCTGGAAAAACACTCAGACCTAGTTTCTAAATACAAAATTGTTTCCAAAGTTTCTAACAGGGATCAGATTACTAAAAATACTTTTGTAATTTCCCCCAAATGTTACAATCAAAAGAAAAAAGTGGTATTTTTTAAAATCAAGTTTTCTTTTATATCCTAGCTATGAGCTATCATTTAAATGAATTTGGCATTTTTTATTTGAATATTTTATGGCCAAATCAGTTAATACTTGGAGATGTCTGTACCGAGGAGCTGTGGGGTGATTTGAACTGTGGGTGTCTTTTTCTTGCTGAGAGAACGAGTAATCTGTAAAACGCACATTGTGGTGGGCATTGCAGCTTGAGTGTTCTTTTGGCCAAGAAAACAGATTCCTCTCAGAGAATAGACAGTTGAATGACATTTGTCTGAGATGTTTAGCAAACCCACGTTAACAGGCAACAAGAAAGCCTGTTCATAGCTGTGGAGACGGATGATCGCTCAATTCCCCAAATAGCATGGAGCGTACATGCAGGGCATGAATTCAAGGTGTAAGAGCAAGTCTCTGTGGCATCTTCTGCCAGGAGGGAGCAGTTTGCTCTTTTAGCAAGTGATTCCATTTCAAAGTTAATATTTTCATTCAAAGAGCTCATTCCTCCTGCCTCCAGGCCCCTGCCCTTGGTCACACAGGGATATTACCCACCTCTCTACACCAGCCCCTCCCACCACATGCTCACACAATTCATCTCTTCAGCTGGGTGTGCGAGAGTTGCTCCCAGGCTCATGGGCAGTGTACCCTGTGGGTTCCACATTTCTATTCCTCTCTCCTCGTGACACAAACAGCACCGAGCTCACTTGACTTCCCATGTCCCACATTCACTTATCTCTGCTTTCTCTGTCTATAGCCCCCATATCATTCCTGTTATATTTTGCATAAGACACTCATGCACTCAGTGGTTTTCTTGGAACAGAAAATTCAAATCCATTTCATGTTGATAATGTCAATAAGGCTACGAATGGAGTTGAGTTACTAAATTATTACAAATTGCAGGAACATAGAAAATGTATATTTTGAAAATCAGTTATTGGATCTAAAGTTATTTAGTCTATCATATATTTATAGAATTTTTGTCATTGTATAACTTGACAAATATTGGCGGGTTGCTGTGGGGAGTAAAATATATGTTTCAAGTACCCTACCTAAGATTGCCATGCTCAGATTCATTTCTTGCATTTTCCTGGCTTTGATTTTGGCTAAAATCTTAGTCCAACATGTTCATTTATTGATTTGGATGTTTATTCTGGAAATGGGGAGATACTATGATATACTTCTACCTGTGTTTTGCTATGAAGCTTAAAGGACTTTGGTCACCTTGAAAGAGGTTGTAGTTTTCCATTGTGGATTCACTTTCTGGAAAAATTGATCCAAGTCAAGAGAAGCTTTTTTTTGTTAATTTCAAGGAGAGTCTTTCTATTGATTCCATTATACAGTATAATGGAATGAATAGGGTTACTTGGCAACCCTCTAGTCATAGCTACAAGAGTTTTCTAAAGAAGAGTTTGTAGTGTTTTGTGTGGGAAGAATAAATGCCTCAGGACTGACCAAGGTATATGTAATGTTGACCATTCTGCTAAATTTAATTTATATCCAAATTCATTATAGGTCATTTGTGTTTTCGAGGACAGAATTTTCATTTTGTAATTAACTTGGGACACCATTCAGTATTGCTTTTACTGTCACTGTGAGTGTTTGGAGTGGCAGGGCAATGTTGATCAGTTACTTTCCTTTATAATAAAGTATTTTTATGAATTTGATATTCTTAAAAGTAACATTTTTCTGTCACAAAAACCTTTGCCAGCAGAATGTTTTCAGTTTTACAACAGACTTCAGTAGTAGGAAAAAAAAAACGTGCTCACTGCTGGAGATGGAGAACTTTGGACATGGTAAAACGAAACAGATTTATTTGTAGCTAACCAGTTGAATAAGAAAAATGGCTGTGAATCAGTGGCCTGGGTCTCAAGGTGGGAATAAGGCACCAGTTGAAAAAACATATTCAAATACCTCTTGTCTTTCTACAAACTGGGAATGTAAAACCTTGGCTGGGAAGGTGCACAGGGTGTGATAGGTACACAGATGTTAAAAAACTTTACCCTGGGAAAGATGTCCTTCAGTCTTTGGTCTCCATTAAAATAAGTTGTTTTTTTTAATCAAAGTCTTGGATGAAGGCACAAAAGAAAACCTTTTTAAGTGATACAGAGCTTTAAAGGTGACTAAGGGCGCATGTGTCGGAATTTATGTGTGGAGTAGACAGTGGAAGAACCCTGAAGCAAAGTAGCAAGATGAGACTTAGTAGGAGGTAAAACTACTCTGTTTTTAAGGATTAAGTACAAAATAGAGATGTCTTTGGGAAGGAGTGGTCACTCTTAATGACAGTTGAGGTGAAACTCATCTTTGAGCTCAAGTCAATTACACATGCAACACAAACCAGCTGTCAGATGTGACCGTGCGACCCCAGGCTGCTCTGGAAGCATAGTGTTCGGTTTACTGACGGCGGTGGGTCCCTGGCTCCCTATGCTGCAGGGGCCCTATCATGGTGTCTTGTTTTGTTCACACGTGTTAGGGATGCTCCAAACCCACCACATTGGGGTGCGAAAATGGAATCGTTCACTGGTAACCCACAATTCCTTAAACTTTCTGAACCTAAGTTTCCTCACCAGAGAAGTGGGAGCGAGCCCAGCCCATGTGGCTCAGTGCTTGAGCTTTGAGCCATGTACCAAGAGGTCGCTGGTTCCATTCCCAGTCAGGGCACGTGCCCAGATTCAGACTCTGTCCTCAGCAGGGGGCATGGAGGAGGCAGCCAATCCATGTTGATGTTTGTCTCTCATGGATGTTTCTGTCTCTCCTTCTCCCTTTCTCTCTCTCTCTAAAAAGAAAGAAATATATTTTTTAATATGTAAATATATTAAATAATTTTTATTTATAAAATTAAATATATTTTATATATATATATATATTTTTTTCTTTTTAAAGAAAAAGAGGGGTGAAAGTATTTGCCTCAAAAAGGCATTATTGAGAAGGTTAAAGCTGGTACTTTATTTGAACACTATCTGGGATGTAGCATATTCTTGATGAATGGTAGCCTTTAATTCACAATAATAAAAACAGTGAATTCTGATTTGAGTGTATTCAGCAGAGAATTATAGGATGGTGAGGGATTTCCAGATGGCCCAGATTATGGAGTAAAGAGAAAAGGTGGAGTTCATTCCAACAAGCGTTTCTTTATACCATCCAAAGATGCTACTAAGGAACTTTGTCAAATTTCCTTCTAGCAGTAGGCTGAGATCATTGAAGTATTCAATATTTGTCCATTTGAGAGACCTTTTTCCAAATAATTTTTCAAATTCTTAGTCTTGATTATCTAAAATATAAAAGATCTTATTATGAGTAAAATATAAGGAAAGATGTATAAGTAATTTGATACATACATTTGGGAAGTATTTGCATGCTACCAGATTTTCATGTATGCCAACAAAATCACTAATACTGTCATTCCCTTATTATTATTATCACCATTTTTAATTTCTTTATTGTTAAAAGTACTACAGATATCCCCCCCTTTTTCCCCCATTGACCCCCTCCACTCCACACCCACCCCTCCCAGGCCTTCACCACACTATTGTCTGTGTCCATGGACTATGCATATCCTATCTAATAAGAGGGTAATATGCAAATTAACCAACACTCTGTCACAAAGATGGCGGCACCCATAGCCACAAGATGGCGGCACCCAGTCCCCTCAGCCTCGCCAGAGGGAGGGAGGGCGGGCGGGCGGGCCTCTGGCCAGAGGCTGGCCAGGGCACGGGGTGCAGGATGCTGGCATCGTTGCAGGTTGGGCTTAGGGGACCCCCCCCTCCCTCAGTGCATGAATTTCATGCACCGGGCCTCTAGTATGCATATAAGTTCCTCAGTTAATCTCTCCCCACTTACCCCCACCCTTATTATTTTTATTGGCCATTAAAGAACACAAGCAACTTTCTATAGCCAGTTTGTTGTCATTGTTGCTATATATTTCTTGGACATAAATTTTAAAAGAGAAAATAAAGAAAAAATATCCCAGTCACACACAGTAGAGGAAATAGTGCTCGTCACATTTATTTTAGTCTCATTGCTTCTGTGTTCAACAGACTAATTTGAGTCTAACTAATTAGCAAACATCATATTTGCTAATGACCATCCAATTAAAAATTATTTGGGTACCACTCTAATCTAGTCTGATTTGGTTTTAGGAAAATAAGTCAAATATGATCTGAAATTTGAGTCCATGTTTTATAATATAGGTTTGCTACTGCATATAGAAAATGTTCAAGCCATTTTTGGTGTAGTTTGGTTTGTCCTCCACAAAGAACCAGATTGGTGGAGGAGTCCAGAGAATGATTGGAAGAGTGGCAGATGGCTCATCGTGCAGGTGTTCCCCACAAGGGTTCTCCCAGCCTGGTGTCTCCATGCATGTGGGACCTCAGTTTACTCTTGTTATGCATGATTCACTAGTGAGGGAGACTTAGTGTTTGAGACCCAGGTAAATCCACACAGAGTAGCACCCAAGGGAAGACGCCAATGAATCAGCCACATTGCAGAGAGATTTATATTGAGATTGGGGCAATTCAGAAAGAGCTACTTAAGTCCAGAGTCTGATGGATTTGAAGCATTCCTGTCATAAAAGCCTGCCTCCAGGTTTGGCCCTGTGCAGAGGCTGGCTGGATGAATGGGCTCCATGCCTGAGACCATTCAGGGTCCTCCAGAATATCCCAGAATCTGGAGTTAGCCCAGAAACTGTGGAGGTCACTCCAAGAAGCATGTCTTGATAACCATCCAGAGAAGCTTCTGAGGAATCAGAGAGGGTAAGGAATTTATGGCATTAGGTCCTGAATGT